GCAACTTATGATTCGTTTTAGAAATGTCATTTAGGGACTAGATCGTTTACCGAAGGCAACATCGAGGGTCATCGAGGGACTACGATCTTTTATCGAGGGTCTTTTGCTAAAACGCCCATGTTCGAGAGACATGACTATTTTCCGATAGGCAACAAGTGGAATTACCCTAAGGGGTGTAAGTGTGCAAATGTGTTTTATTTGCATGCATTTAGTCTTTGGTTAGGGGTTGTCTACTTGTTGTTTTTATCTTGTCATACACACCTAATTACTACCATTTGTATAAAGCAATAAAAATGCAGGAAATAAATATCCTACACTATTACAACCATATCGAAAGGCAAGAAAATGTAAAAGCAAAGAAAACAAAAAAAAAGAAAGAAAAAAAAAAGAGCTCTTTGACCCAGGCAGTAGCATCCTTCGACTTGCATTCTGTTGGCCTCCTTAGATTGGGGCTAGCACCAGTGAGGTCCTGTCTTTCGATTGGCCTGGAAGTCAGTGTATAGCGAAGCCTTCTGGTTCTGCCTTGTTGTCTTCTTCGACTGGAGGTTGAAAGCAGTGACGGAATGCCTTTCAACTGAGCCTGGAAGTCAACATGGTTTTCCTCCTAGTTGTCTCTTTCGTTCGACCTAGAGAAAGAGGGTAGAAGCCAGAAGCTTTGTTTCCTATTTCCTGTTTCCTGTTTCTTTCATTTCAAGCATTAAATGGCAATATGGCCTGAGGTCATGCTAGTATTTGTCTTGTAAACAGTTTAATAGTTAAAGCAAGTTCAGGTAAACAGAAAGCAAAACAAAAGGGGTAGCTCTAAAAAATATGTTAAAAGGGTGGAAACGAAAGGAACAATGGTATGTACATGTTTCAAACGAAAGGGAAAATTACTATGCCATGAAACGAAAATTTTAAAGATAAGAATAACTTACCTTGATTCAGGCCTTGAATGGATGTGGGACCTTGAGTGGAGGCCCTGGATGCTGGATTCGAAAGAGAGGGTCAATAGCTGTGCTTGGAACGCTGGATTCGAAGGAAGAGAAAAAGAAAGTGTGATGCTTCTTTGATTCGAAGGAGACTGAAGTGTGGTTGTTCTTCAGAGTCGAAGGAGATGAATGTGATTCTGGGTTTTTTGTGATTTCTCAAGTGTTGATGAACTTTGAGAGTTTTATTGTTTTTTGAAAAAATTTGGGGGATTCGTTCCTCTGGTCCAAAGATCCTCTTTTAGCTTTGTAAAAAATTCCTCTATTTATAGAGAAAGAATGGACATGTTGTCCAAAGCCAGCCTTGCAAAGAAATGATAAAATAATGTAACGTGAAAGTACATGTGGGGGGCCTCTTGGCAGTTGGGGTGCAAAAGATGTGACTTATACTTCTGGCCTTGCTTGTGCTCAGACCAAAATCAGGTTGAAAGCTGATTTTGTGGCTAAAGTACTCTCTCTGATTATGTAAAGATTTGGAAGCAACATAGCCTGGCAAACGAGATTTGGTCTTGAGTCAAATGCAAGAATGAGATCAAAGAACACTTGTTCGGAGGAAGCCTTTGCCTCAGTCGAAGCTTATGGTCGAAACAAGCTAATGCCCAGTCGAAGCTTGTATCGAAGAAAACATATTTCCAAATCGAAATCTCATGCTTGAAGGAAACATATTGCCCAATCGAAGCTTGGGTCGAAACAAACATAAAGGGAGTCATTTCCTTTTAGCGTGAGGGAAGTTCCTGGCTTTTGAGTCGAAGGGTATTCCCAAGTTGCAATCGAAGGAGGCTCTTGCTCAAAACGAAGGATGTAATCCAAGTTGCATTCGAAGGAGGTTTTCAAGCTAAACGAAGGATGTACCTAAACTTCCATTCGAAGGAGGCTTTAAGTTCAAAATGAAGGACATGCCCAAGTTGCATTCGAAGGAGGCCAAGAGTCAGTCGAAGGGTGCTGAATCGAAGGAGACCTGTTTTCTTCCAAATTTTTCAAAATGTTATTTTTATCTGCTTTCTCCCTTTTTGACAGTTTCCTTTTAATTTTGGTATCGGAAAATTCCAATGCACTTGTTCAAGCTTGAACCTTGAAAATCCTTGTGAGAAAGGCCTTGAAGAATGAGAGGGAAAATTTTGGGGTACAACAGAGTAGCTTATTTTATTTTCGGTATTTATTTAGATTGAGTCATGCTCTGATCATGTAACACTGGAAAACGTTTGAGTTCATGTTTTTGGAGAGATATTTTATGTATTCTACTTGATTATGTTATTCAGATTTGAATTATGGTGTGAAGTGACTTTTATTTCTAAGTTGATTAAATGAATGAAATTTATTTGAGACTTGAATATTATGAGATTCTTAATGAAATTGATTCTGATGTGACATGCTTATGTGAAGTGATATGAAAATTATAAATTTAATGTAATGTTATTTGAGCATGACGGATGTATATGTGATTTTGAAATATGTGTGACACCCTTATGTGATATGCATGATAATTTATTCTGATTATTTCTAGAATATTTTATGGGGTTTAGAAGGATATTACACAACACGCGTAATCTTGTCCATGGGAGGAAAATATTCCATCTTGTGGATCCATCATATTTAATCACCTCTATGGGCTGCAAGGAGTCTAACTAGGGATCCAACACATGTAATCACTTCAATGGACGACAAGGATCTAACCTTAGAAATCCAATGCATGTAATCGCCTTCATGGATGACAAGGATCTCATCTTGAGGATCTAACATATTCAATCACATATATGGGTAGAAAGGATCTCATTTTAGGGATCCAACGAATGTAATCGTTTTCATGGGTGGCAAGGATCCCAACTTTGATATCCAACGCATGTAATCGCCTCCATGGGTGGCAAGGATGTCATCTTGGGGATCCAACATATTCAATCGCCTTTATGGGCAGCAATGATCTGATCTTGGAGATCCAACGCATGTAATCACCTCCATGGGCGACAAGGATCCCATCTTAGGGGTCCATCATAGTTAATCTCCTCTATGGGCGGTAAAGATCCCATCTTGGGGATCCAACACATGTAATTTCCTCCATGGGAGACAAGGATCCTATCTTGGAGATCCAGCATATTCAGTCACTTGTATGGACAACAAGGCTCCCATCTTAGAGATCCATCTCATGCAACTTCCTTTATGGGCGGTAAGGATCACAATCTTGGGGATCCAGCATATTCAGTCGCCTTTATAGGCGGTAAGTATTCCGTCTTGGGAATCCATCGTATGTAATAGTTTTTTTTAAAGGCTTTTATGAGCCTGAATTTCCTACAAAGATATGGAATAACAAATATATATATATATATATATATATATATATATATATATATATATATATATATATATATATATATATATATATATATATATATATATATATATATATATATATATATATATATATATATATATATATATATATATATATATATATATATATATATATATATATATATATATATATATATATATATAAGGATGAGGTGCCTCGTTTATTCCCTCTGCGCTTTTCACAAGTAAGGGTATAAACGAGGCACCTCATCCTTATATATATATATATATATATATATATATATATATATATATATATATATATATATATATATATATATATATATATATATATATATATATATATATATATATATATATATATATATAAGGATGAGGTGCCTCGTTTATACCCTTACTTGTGAAAAGCGCAGAGGGAAAATAGTGCACCTCAACAAGAAGATGGAACATCATCACCAGCTATCTTAAGATAGACGTCATTCATTTCTAGATAAATGTTACCTATTACAATAATGGTATTATTGTGCATGTTTCCAACGACAATGACGTCCCATTAAAGACTTTTACTTTCTTGGTTCCGGCGGCCGGGTTAGAGCACGTATGGCAAACCCTAATCCTAAAAAGCATAGACGAGAGCTTATGAAAAATTATTTTGTATCAGCCACAAGATCCAAGACGGAAGGTCCACTAAGCAATGTAGCACATAGAACATATAGACACTTTCTTCCCTGAAAGCAGGTAATTTCACTTGAACTTTATTAACCGTCCAAATCAATCAAATAACTAACTGCGATCCACACCACAATCCACACCATAATCCACACCTTCTTTTAATTGTTTCTCATATTTAAAAAGAAATACACATATTTTTTTAGATATTCAAATCTATTTTCAGTCTCACATTTCATTTTTTAGATATTCAAATCTATTTCCAATCTCACATTTCATTGTTTTACTTGGTTCTTAAAGTGGTAAGTTTATATGTCAACCCCTACCTATTATACCAGAAATCTGTCATAACAAGCACCACGTCAATTCACTATACAACTCTACTTTTTTTATAAAAAAAAAAAATCAAAACTTAAGAGAAAAAAATATAACAAATTGCTTATACATACATAAAAATACATTAGTTTACTTCAAAGAAATTGTCTTGGCACCTTAGTCAACAGACGAAAAGGAATGCGGCCAAAAGCAAAAGCTTAAACGTTAACATAAACACAGCTTGAAGTAAAAAACAAGACTTATTACGAATACAACCCTCAACTTCATGTTATGTAATACATAAATCGATCATCAAACACATAACTCATAACTGAGTATAAAATAAAGCTTTATATCTGCACTTGCATAAATTTTCAATATAAAATATATCTCCTCAAAGAAACACCCAACATAAAAAAATGTTAAAGGATGTTTTGGGGATCAATATTCACAATATTTATAATCAAAGCACCTAACTTCAACATCATTTATTGACTCAGAATCTACAATCACCAACCCTAAACTCAAGTACAATGTACATCACTTAACTCTCTTTTGAAATCTATTTCATCTTAAAATCCCATTAAAAAACACTTATATTCAACTCACCAAACAAACAAAATGCCACTACAAGTTAATTAAAACAATTTGCAATATTATTTTGCTTAACAAATTTTATATGATAAACCACATTTCATATTTTAATTCTTGTTTTAGATTAATTCTAGAATTCTAATGTCCTCAATGAGAACTAGAAGAAGGGCTCCATGGTGTCATATCCATTGGATAACTCCCCAAAACTCTCAAGAAAGAGGTAAATTCTTGAACCTCAGCAAGTGCATTCTGTGCTCTAACTTCAGCCATAGAAGCATCAAAATCAATATAAAAAATATACTCAAAGTGTTTCGCTGTTCCTTCACTTTCACCATCCTCAACTCGAATTGGACGGCCACGATGTGGCCTCGATTCAATCTTAGTTAAGCTGATGTTTCTGAACGCAAAAGCCGAAAGCACTTTAAAAAGCACTGAAGTTCCGTTATCATGAGCAAAAACTATGCTCGTTTTAAAAGGACGATCGGTTCGCGGAATAATGGGCTCTCGGGCTAACATAACGAACCGGGTCACGTTATTCGGGTCGTCCTGGATTCCATCAGCTAGAATGTTTAATCCATAAAGCTCCGCTGCACGTGCGCTTGCGATGGCGGCGGTGTCACGGAGGTTGTTTGTAGCGATAAACTCCGCAGCACCGGCGGTGTCATCGACGGCTTCACGCGCGAAGTTGAAACCGAGTTTTGTTAGCGTGTTCTCGCATTGTGATAAGGCTTGTGGATGCGAAATCACGCGTGTAAGATACTCTTTTCGGACGCCTGGGAGAGCGAGGATACAGTGATGAACGGGAAGTTGAACTTCTCCGACGATGTGGAGGCGGTGACGGAGAAGGAGGTCGTAGTTTCGGTGAATTGAGCCGCCGAGGGAGTTTTCGACCGGGAGAACGGCTCGATCGGCGATCCAGAGTTCAACGGATTGGAACGCGACCTCGAACTGGTCGCACGGGATAGCTTCGCTGTTTGGATAGGCTTTACCAGCTGCGGCTTCGGAGTAGGCGCCGGGAACACCTTGATACGCGACGCGTAAGGATGAACCGTGGATCGGAGCCGGAGAGAGATCGGTGATGGTGAGCGGCTTCGGTGGAAGCGGCTTGTTTCCGAGAGGAACGAGTTGGAGATTCGTCGCGGCGGTAGACTCACCGTTGACGGCGCTGACATGGTGGTTTCCGTCATCTTGCTGTGAAATTACTTTACTGGCTAAGATGGCGCATGAGTGTTGAAAGTCAGCTCGGCTTGAGCCGACACCGAAACCGTGTGTCAAATTAGAGAACTCTAAACTGTATCCGCATTTCACGGTTCTACGAGGTGGACCAACCCGGTTTTGAGAGGGTTGAACCCGGTTCAGATAGGTAAGAGAGTTGAAAGATGAGGGAGTGAGGGTATGCATATTGGTTAAAGCTTGGTGTTCTCTCTGAAGAAGGGAACGTCAAGCTGAGAGAAAAGAGAGAGGTTAAAGGGTTTATATAGTAGTTGGAGTTGCAATTGGTGAAGAGAATTTGAAATGTAAATAAGACAATATTGTTAAGTCCTGGGAGGATGGTGAGTGTGAAAGCTGTTCGGTCAATCCTACACCTACCCCGGATATATCCCTTTCCTTCTCTAACTTTGCATATGACATTCTTAAAAATATTTTATTTTAAAATAAATTTAATCTTAAGAGAAATAATAATCAAAAGAATGGATATTTATTTATTATTATTATTATTATTTTTTAATATGTTTTTATGGTGAAAGAGAGAAGTTTTGAAATATTTATAATAATATAAAGAAAAAATTGTAAATAATAAGAATACTCATTTAAACAATAAATTTAATTACTTGAAAAATCTAGAATATCATTTATAAAGAAGATAAACACGTATACAAAGATTTCTGATATTTGGTATGTTAATTTGGGTATGAATATTGGTATGGGTAATTTTAGAAAATTATGTTATTTTTAACTTTTATGTTGATAGAAGATACAAAGTATATGTAGTATGTTTTTGGCCAATTATAGAAAGTATAAGAAATTATGTAAACGAAATGGGATGCATGCATATGTTTTCCCATAAATAAATATAAATACAATGTATTTATTATTTTACCAAGAGTAGAAAAGTTAAAATGAATAGTGTAATACAGTGAGGGAATTGATTTGTTTTTGTGTTTTATCGCAAATGTTGTAGATAACAAGAGTTGTCATCGATTTTTCTTTTATTCAATAAGGAAATGGTGAAAAGAACAGGAAAGACCTTCGAGATTTTCTTGAATTCGGGAATAGGTTATGAAAATGGAAGATATTAACACACTTTTCATTTGTAGTAACTACGGACTCTTAATCGCTTAGCTCACTTTGTTTTGAAAATTACTTTGTGTTGTGCATGTTTGAAAATATTTTGAAAATGTCAATTATAAGGCGAACTTTGTAATGATTCTCGTATTTGTTCTCGAGAATGCGTACAAAGTGTTTGTTTGAAAATATTTATTGAAGAGTGTTTGTGTGAAAAATGTTTTGTTTTGAAGAGCTTTCTGAGCAAGCGATTAAGATATACTTACTCAAAGTCTTTATTGTACTTTTCATCATCCTTTAGATAGTGTTGACCTACCATTAGTTAGTAGGAAGCTCTATCGTTGGATGTGAAGGGATGGACGTGGGTCATCGTACAATTGTAACACCCCGATTTATTTAATATTATATTTATAATAATTTATTATTTATATTGTTTACTTATTAAATACTTCGGTGTGATAATTTAAATAATTATGTGTTTTGAGTGTATTAATTATTTATTAGAGGTATTTATTTTATATGTTAGTAATGGGTTTTATGGTGTGTAGAGAGACTATAAAAATATAGTGTTTTATTTTATTAGTAATAAGAATAGAAATAAGAGAAAGAAGAGAGTATTTAATTTTTAAAAAATAGAATTGGTGGTTAGTAAGAGGTAGAAGAGAGAAATAGAGAGAAAGAGGAGAAAAGAAGAAGAAGAGAGAAAAAGGGCTAGGGTTTGAAAGAGGAAGAGGAACTTGGTAAAGGCAAGGTGCAAGAAACATCAAGAACTCATAAGGTAAGGGTGGTTATTTTATTTCTCATGCTTGTATGTGATTTAGAGCTATGGGTAGAATATATTTTGGATGGATTCTTATAAATAAAATATTAGGTTAAGAGAGTGATGATTTTGTTGATTAAAGAACTGATAATAATCCAAAGTAGATGGATTTATATTTATAGGTTGAAATCTATGAGTATTATTAGGAATTATAGAGATTGAGAATTCAATAATTACTATTTATATTAAATTGGAATCTGATCATCAAAGTTTTAGAACTTTTGGGGTGATACCTGAAGCACATTTGTTAGATGAATTTTGGTGCAGATTGCATGTGCTCTAGTTTTTAGTACAAATTTTGGTACATCCATATACTTGTACATAAATAAAATGTATTTACTTTTATGCATAGGTAAGTTAATAGCTTTAGGTATATATATTATTTTTAGAATCAGTAGAACTTAGATATTTTATTAGACAAAATACTGGTACATTATTAGATATATATATTTTTAGTTTATATTATTAGTATACCATGAATTAACAATCCCATGCTAAAGGTTATATGAATATATACTGATACAATATGATAACATATAATTTATGGTAACAAATTAATGTAGTGCCTGTTGTACTATATTAGTAGCAAGTCAATATAATTACTCTGTTTCATATTTTATATCAGTAACAGGAAATAAAAAAAAAATACTGTTATACATATATTCAGTATTATTTAGAAATAGGAAAGGATTAATATCGGAGTCGTATTAACCGGTTAATAAATAATTAATGATTGAGCCGATAGCTATGAATCGGAAAGGAGTTGTTTAAGTTGGAATTAAGTAAAAAGGGTTCCGTTCGATCGAATTAGCCGGTTTAGGCGGTAAAATTAGTTATCCGGAATTTAATGAAAATTGACGTGGTAACTAAGTTTAATGCGTAGGTAATTATGGTTGTGTTATTTTGTCGAGATTGCGACATTTTCGAAGACCGATCGGAATTGTGTTTTGTTTGAGTATGTTTATGGAAGTAACTTGTTCGAGCTTGTATGTTACTTGATGTGTGAAATATATTTGTAATGCATGTACAATTGTTGGTATTTCATTGTGTTGGAATATGTGATATGTGTATGTTAAGATCGGGAGTGGTCTTAATTGCATACGAGTTGGTCGATTGTACATTGCATGACATGGTTGGTCTTGAAACATAGACGGTGAAACGGTGGGTTCACATTTTATAGACGTTGATCCTTAATTGGAAATAGGTGTAGTGGCTTTGACCCGGAAGGGGAACATAGGCGGTGAAACTTTGGGTTCACAAAAATAGACGACGATCCTTGATTGGAAATAGGCGTAGTGGCTTTGATCCTATGTGGAAACATAAGCGGTGGAACTTTGGGTCCACGAGTCGGTACCGTATTCACATTTGTTGCGTCGTGTCGTGATTCACATGCATAATTGTTATATTATGAGTTTATGTGAATTTAATTGATTATGTGGTTTGTGTGATTGGAATGATTCTTGAATAATTTCCGAGTGTGTAACTATGTGAAATAATATGTTACTAATATTTATATATGTTTATGTAAGGCGATGAATTTCTCTAATTTATATTCTATGCATTGTTTATTTTACATACTATTATGATTATTTGAATACTCACCCTTCTATTGAAATGATGCTTAATAATGGCATCGCTCAGGTACCGAAGACGATTGTGCGAGGCACAAGGATTAGCGGATGCACCTAGGCTTTGTATTCCGTTATTTTGTTATTCGAGTCGATGCTCTGATTTTGTAACACATGGGGGTTTAGTTTGTAGTATTCGAACTCGTGTTTTGATATGGATTATAAATGTATATGATCCTTTATGTTTTGATTATGTTTGATGTATATAACATGATACTTTGATGACATGTATATGTATGAACCGAATGGCCTAGATGCCAAATGTATCATATTTTGGTTACTCTATTTGGAGAATATGATTGTGTTGTTATTCCGTTGCGTTTTGCATGAAGAAAATGAATATGTTATGTATGTATAACATGATTATGTGAAATAAAGTATTGATTTTATTTATGTTTGGCTTTTCATGGAAGATGGAAAGTGACTTGTGACACTCCTTACATGCAATTTTATTTCTCTGATTTAAATTATATCTTTTATTCGGGGTTATTAGAAGGGGTGTTTCAAAAGTGGTATCAGAGTATAGTCGGTCATTTTGGTCAGGTCTTAACTTTGTTAACCCCATTGTATTTGATTGTGTGTCTGGCGCGATCAATACTTTTGTGTTGTTCAGAGAAAGATGGTTGCAGGAAGGAACGATGATGCCATTGCTGAAGCTTTGCGATTGCTCGCGGGATCTCTGAATCAGAGGCCGCAAGCCAATCATGTGCATCATAATGAGGGTGACAATGAATTCTGAGCTCTTGGAAAGTTTCAAAAGAACAATCTGCCTACTTTCAAGGGAGAGCACGCACCAGAGGAAGTTCAAGAATGGTTGAAAGCAATAGACAAGATTTTCTGAGTCATGAATTGTACCGATGCTCAAAAGGTGCAATTCGGTACTCACATGCTAGTGAAAGAGGCCGAAGATTGGTGGATCAATACAGCTCAAAGATTTGACGAAGAGAACATGGTAGTCACTTGGGCTATTTTCCGAGATACTTTCTTGGAAAACTACTTCCCCGAGGACGTCCGTGGGAAGAAGGAGATTGAGTTTCTAGAGTTGAAACAAGGGAACGGCACTGTTGCTGAGTATGCCGCTAAGTTCCAAGAGTTGATAAAGTATTGTCCCCACTACAATACTATTAATGCCGAAAGATCCAAATTTCTTAAGTTTGTGAAGGGTTTGAGGCCGAATGTGAAGAAGGCAATTGCATATCAACAAATCACTCGCTTTTCTGAGTTAGTGAACAAAAGCCGAATCTATGATGAGGATAGTAGGGAGAGAAGTGCCTACTATAAGAGTCTGAATGAGAAGATAGGTAAGGGGCAGTTGTGTCCTAAGCCTTATCCTAAGCCTTATGATGGAAGAGGAAAACAACCAATGGGTGGAGGAAAGAATTCAAGTGGGGGAGTGACTACTCCGATCAAATGTTTCAAGTGTGGTAAGGAAGGACATCGTGCTTTAGAATGTCGGCAAGTGATCGTGAAGTGTGATCGCGACTTTATGAGTCTATTGAGATACTAACTGCAAGTATACAGTTTAGTCGTTCTAGTTTTAAATGATTATCGAACCCACAGAGACTGAGGATCAATTGCATACGATCTAATGCTACAATTGTTTAACTAAGCGATGAATATTTGGTTTTAGGGGGGAAATAGTTTAATTAAAAATAATAGTAATAGCT